TGCATATCACACACTCACATGACAGTTGCATTCGTGTTTTAATTTTGATGCATTATCTTGGAAAACTAACATTGTCATTGCATTCCTTATTAAATTTCACTCAAGTTAGACCTAAATTTTGCTAAAATTGGTTGAGTATTGAATGAGTTGTGATGTTCTCGTTTTTCATGATGTTGCCTTGTGTTTGCTTGCCTAGCTTAGAGAATCCACTTTGTTAAGTACATGTTTATTTTGGGGTGGCATAATACTTGGATGTATCGCGATCCTAGTGGTTAAATGCCTTGCCCTTTCACTATCATGTCCCCGGTTCGAGCCCAGCTTGGGGCGTTTTACTTTTTTATTCCTTTTATTTTCCATGCTTTACATTTATTGTTTTTCTTGCCTTCAATTTCGCGCGCGCGCTGTGGCTAGAGTGGCTAAGTCTTGGGTCTGCAGCTTTGGGGTCAAGGGTTCAACCCCTTGTGGAAGCATTTCCTTGTTTTTTTAGCATCTTGTTTTCATTTCTTTTATTTTTATTTTATTTTGTTACTTGTTTTTTTGTTTTATTTATTTTTAAAAAATAGTTTTAAATATTCAAAACCCAAAAATCATTTGTCTATTTTTTTTAATATGTTATTTTATTTTCCATGTTTTTTTATTTTATTTTCTATTTTATTTCATCATTTTTTATTTTGAATTCATCATTTTATTTTCTTTCTCATTTTCATCTGCGATTGATTTATTTAGTGTTTACTTGGCCTTATGCCATGATCCCCCAGGATTCCTAGTCCCTCCGTTTAGGATGGGAGTAGGAGAGACATTAGGTGTTCAATCCTATGCATGATAACATTAGGATAGTCTCATTCCCTTTCATCTAAATCTTAGGATCACCATTGCATGACAACTTTAGGCTTAGATTTAGTCCCCCTTTTAGTGTCCTTTCTCTTCTCATCTCAAAACAATCATAAAACACTTAATAAAGATAATGGGTGTTGTGCCATGAGCCTTATACTTGGGAAATGGTAGTTGGGGGGTCACCTCTCAATTGCTTAGAGTGTTTAGTATACGTCCTTAGGGCGATATGCGACGCATTCGATCCTAGGTTCTAGACTTTGGTACAACATGTATTATAAACACTCCAATTCAAAACACTTCTCCTCTAAAAAACACAAAAACATTTCAAACCTTTTTCACCCTTAGGGGTTATAATCAGGAAATTCATTTTCATAAACAAGAGTGTTGTTAACTCTTAGTTCTACCGCAAATGGTAATGCCTAAAGTTTCCCATGCTCGAGCTGCATATACCAACTGCTAGAACTACTTGTTAACCCTACTCGGGCCTAAAAAACAGTTGAACAAATCCGTGTTCCCTCGTTAGCCCGAACTACGTTTGCTCTGATCTTTCATACCAGATGAAAGTACGTAGGCACAAGATGGTGATGTCTTGGCGAGCAACCTTCCCCCCCTTTCACCCGTAGTTAGTCGAACTACGTTGACTCTGACTTCTGATCTCAGATGAGATACGTAGGCACAAAGCGTCGTTGCTTTGCCGAGTCATTTATTTTCCTTTTGTCCTCAAGCATGTAGTTAGATAGTTTCAATCACCCTTTTAGATAGACAACAAGCGTGGATCCCGTCGAGTACGACGGACGTGAGGGGTGCTAATACCTTCCCCTTGCGTAACCGACTTCCGAACCCGAGATTTGGTTGCAATGACCGATCTTATCCCTCTTTTCGTTAGGTTTTCTCTGAGCGTTTCCTTTCCCTCTCTTGGGATAAATAATGCACGGTGGCGACTCTTTTGTCATTGTCGGCCTCGATTTTCGCAGTAGCGACACATGTTAATCTGTTGTAGATCCCTTGATCATCCGCAAATGAAGTTCCTTTCTTCCAGTGGAAAAGTTATATGTTATGTGTTGGACACAACATACTCAATCAAGCCATGTAGAGAGATCAAATTATCATAACATTAATAAACAGTAACTGACAACAAAATATATTAATTTATAACTTGATCTAGTCAAACAGAGGATAAACAAGTACAAACATTTAGAACATTGCAAGGAAGAGGGAAACTAAAAATTACATCACTTTAAAACCATGTGTATAAGTTGTTTTTCAGTTTATTTTCATAAGCTCGCTAAGATAAATTATGAGAAAAACTTATAGCATGTATACATTGTTTTTGTTGAGATTGAAGACTTTTTTTTATACCTATATTTACATGAACATCATCATCAACTTTGATATAAAAGTCAGCATCCCACAAATGGAGAAGTCAGTTGTAGGGGAGAGAAAGACGAAACTATGTGATGATAGGTTAAATAGAAAACAAAGCATGAAAATTCTACAAGCAAATAAGATATATGCATTAAAGAGAAAATGCTACATAAAAGTTAAACAAAATAACAAAAGAACCAAGAATAAAGAGCCTAAAAACTTCACTTCAAAACCAACAACAAAGAGTCAAAAATGTAAAAAGCTGAAAACACATTTTATATACCATACAGGATACATGATTTTGCTCTAAAAAACCAAGAACCAAGAAGAAACCATTCACTTGAAGAAAAAAAAGAGTTTGGACAAGAAAGCATATAGAAATACTCATTTCTTATCAGTTCCGACCATTGCGATGATCAGTGAATAAATCTTTCATCATTATAAGTTCACCCTATCACTAGATGACTTTGCCCTTTTCGTGTTTTTAAGATTTCCATATCTATCTTCATGAAGGAAAATGGGAAAATGGTCGAGAGAGTAAAAGCAAAAGAAAAAGAATGAAGTAGAAGGATAGGGTATAAAGAAGAGGAAGAAGACAATGGAAGAGAAACCAAAATAATAGAAGGAGGAGTCAGGGGAAATGAGTTTCTTCCTTAGCTAGAAAGTAGAAACTATCAGACGAGAGAGAGGAAAGATGAATTTTAGGTCTGAAATGGGAAAGACAAATACAGTATGAGGTATAATGTTTTTGAAATGAATATATAGGTAAAAGCTTTTCCCAATTGAATGAAAATATGTAATATTTCTGCCACGTGGCAAAAGTTTTGCCTTTGATTGGAGAAAATAATTTGAATTAGTCAATTACTTAAAAAGGTATGTGTTAGTGTAAATAAATTTTGAGTAGAAGGGTAATTAAGGGAGAGTTTAGACATTTTCTAATTTTCAAATTTTAAATAGATAGTTGATATGGAAGATGATACCAATGGTATGATGCAATGTTAATATCATCCTTTCTTGCTTTGTGTTTTAAGTGAATGCAATAATGGTGACATAAAATGACATGGTTAAGATGAAGTTAGTTTGAATGGAATATGTATGATGATGTAAAATGATGGGAGTGTCATGATTGACACGATGATGGTATTTAACTAATTAATTTTGTTATTTTATAATGCAAAAGTAATAAAAAATTTCTATGTAATAGTTTCAGTTAATTAATTTATATATTTATATTAATAAACATAAAGTTTTTTAGTTTATTAATTACTTTAAATTAATAAACTAATTAATCATATAGAAATTTTTATTTAATAATTTCATTTTATTAATTTAATTATTTTTATTATAATAAATTCAGTTTAATAATTCATATATTTATATTAATAAGCTGAAATCTTTTAGTTTATTAATTATTTTAAATTAATAAAATAAATTATTATGTAGAAATTTTTATTTAATAATTTCAATTTATTAATTTATATATTTATATTTAATAATTTCAGTTTATTAATGTATACACTTATATTAATAAACTGAAATATTTAGTTTATTGATTGAAAAAAATTTTAATAATCATATTCAGTTTGGTTAGTTGAATATTTTTAAAACACTGAACTTGACTTTCGTACTTCCCACTCATTATCACAAAGACATTAATTAATAACAAAATCTAAATATCAGTATCCTAATAACCAATCTAAATATCGATATCCTAATAATTAATAACAAATCTAAATATCAATATCTTAATAATTATTATATTGATACTTTTGTTTAATAATTTCAATGTATTAATTTAATAACTTCTATTTAATAATTTCAGTTTATTAATTTATATATTTATATTAGTGAACTAAATTTATTGATTTAATACTTTTATTAAATTAATAAAACTAAATTATTATATAAAAAAATTTATTTAATAATTTAAGTTTATTAATCTATTTTAAATATTTCATTCATATCATTCATTTACTTTTTGTTTGACAAAGAATTTAACGATTATATTCGGTTCATAAGATAATTGAAGTGAAAATTTAATACTCATTGATTAGTTGATAAGATAATTGAAGTAAAAACTTAATACTCATTGAATTGTTTTAAAACACTGAACTTTCGCTTTCCTTTTCACTTTCCCCTCATTTTCACAAACACATTAATTAATAACTTTTCTAAATATCAATATCCTAATAATTAATAACAAATTTAAATATCACTATCTTATTAAATACTACTAATAACTTTCCTAAATATCAATATCCTAATCATTAATATCAGTATCTTATTTAAAAATAACAAATCTTCTGAGCTTGACGGTCACTTTAATTACTACTAATAACTTTCCTAAATAACAATATCTAATCATTAATATCAGTATCTTATTTAACAATAACAAATCTTCCAAGCTTAACGGTCACTTTAATTGCTTATTAATTACTACTAATAACTTTCCTAAATAACAATATCTAATCATTAATATCAGTATATTATTTAACCATAACACACCTTCGAAGCTTAAAGGTCACTTTAATTGCTATAAAACAGTCCAATCTCTTGTCATAACATAACATCACAAACAAATCTAACCTAGTATTTGCATAGTGTTCTCTCTCATTTCTCATTTCTGTTTCAATTCAACTTCAAAATCAATAACCTAGAATTTGCACAGTGTTCTCTCTCATTTCTCATTTCTGTTTCAATTCAACTTCAAAATCAATAACATAGTATTTACAGAGTGTTCTCTCTCATTTCTGGTTCAATTCAACTTCAAAATCCTGTTCAAGAAACTCAACGCGAGCAAGATGAAGGAAGTCATTATCCGTGAGGTCTTGGCATACAATTTAGAGTACGAATTCAATCTCATCCATAGAGCTATTCATGAAGGTCATTTCATCATATCTATGGATACTGAGTTTCCTGGTGTAATTCATTTCCCTAAAACTGATCGTCGCCATCTTCAAACAGTTGACCAGTACCGTTACTTGAAGGTCAATGTCGACAATCTTAAACTCATTCAAGTTGGACTCACCATTTCTGATTCTGAGGGAAACCTTCCAGATTTTGGAACCAATAACTGTTATATTTGGGAGTTTAATTTCCGCGATTTCGACGTCAATAATGATCTTTGTAATCAAGAATCAGTTGATATGCTTCGCCGTCAAGGGATCGACTTTGAGCGTAATTTCTGTCATGGCGTGGATTCAAGGCGTTTCGCTGATCTAATGCTCTCATCCATACTTGTTTTTAACAAATCAGTTACTTGGGTCACTTTCAGTAGTGGTTATGATTTTGGATATTTGGTGAAGATTTTGACCGGAATGAATTTACCAAACCAGCTGGAGGATTTTTTAACTGTCATAGAAGTATTGTTTGGAAAAAATGTTTATGATATGAAACATATGATGAAGTTCTGCAACTCCTTGTATGGTGGTCTCGAAAGAGTCGCTGCTACTCATAATGTGAGTCGGGCGGTTGGAAATTCACATCAAGCTGCATCGGATAGTTTGCTGACTTGGCAGGCATTTAACATTATGATGAAGACTTATTTTAAGAATGATGAAGCTTCCAAGCATGCTGGAGTTCTGTATGGATTAGAAAGTGCAGTTTAGTGTTTAGAATACTATAAAATTGTAATGAAATTTGAAGTGTATAAAGTATACATGCTTTGATTATTTTCTTCTTAAATCCATAGAAAATGAAAATATAGATTGTAATTTGAAGTGTATAGAGTATATATTTTTTGATTAAGAATCCACTTAACAATCTTAAATGCTTATAGCAAGTAAGCAGAAGTTATAATCCTATTATCAAGTGTCACACCTTAGAGTCCCTAATAACATAATGAAATTACAGTAAGTCCCTATTAAGAAATATGGTTACATAATGAATTCAAATAGGCACAAAGAGTCAAAAACATTGTGTCCTGTCTTAAAAAACAAGAATTTTTCTCTTTCACTTTTCAATCACACCTTTAAGTATAGAGCTTATTTGATTCCTTTCTTAAGACCTGTTTTTAAAAAAAAAAGTCAAATTGAAGAGCTTATATGATTAATTCGTTCATAAAACTATTTTGCAAAACAATTAATTTTATATAAAAATCTGGATAATGCTTGTTTGTTAAAAGAAAAATCGACTGTGTTGGTATACTTTTCATCCAACAGACAAGTCTATGCATACAAATTTAGTCATTTCTTCATGTCTAAATACTACGGCAATTTACCATCACTCTTCGAATTATTTTGCACGACAAATTTAAATTTGCACGACAAATTTAAAGAACAGATAAACTAACATATGTAATGACAATTCCGCACTAAGGACTTGATTCATGAATATTTGAATAGATTGAAATTTATTGTCTGCTAAACTTAGCAATCTCAGCAATGAGTCTCAATACAGAGACAGAAACTTTATCTTCAAAGTTTCAAGCCACTTGCAACCAACAATGTATATAATCATAATGTTAGATATTGCTAATTGGTCGTACAAACCTCACATGTATGTTACGCGCATGGTTGATAGGTCACATCTTTGAAATTATGGGAGCTTTAATCCCATATTTAATTTGGCCATCTGCTTTACTAGATTACCGCACTGAAAGCCTTGCTTTGCCGCATTGAAAGCCTCGCCACATGTATATAATCAAAATGTGGCTTCGTTGCATTTTTCTTTTTGCTCTCAATCCATTGTTGAACTTTCTTGTACAGGCCAATAATACGATCATGATCCTTCTCGTCTAAAAGCTGCATCCAAAAAATATGTAATTATGTTCTGCACGTCACAATTCTAGCTAAACAGCACTTAATCAAGTCGACATTAACTGTAGGAAATATTTCCTCTCTTTAGCCGAACCAGATTCAAATAGACGTGCCAGACTTCCCTTCCGTGTTTCTCTATTTTTCAACCATGCAATGCAAATTGAACAAGACCTTTACAATTTATTTTCTTTGAATTCATATAAAAATCTCAATAAAAAAATTCCTTAATGAATCATGGCATGAAGGTATATAGGAACTCCCCAGTCCCCAGTTTACTTGTAATTGCATAATTTCACAGACAAGGCTGAGATCTGCTATGGAAGGTTGAAAGCTGCTATGAGTAGAACAAAAAAAATTCAAAAATAGGAGAACAGAAGTGTCAACATAGCGAAAACAGAAAGAAACCTGCAGAATGTAATGACTAACACACACAAAGGTGAAACCTACAGGAGGATGAATGTCTGCCATTTTAGTAACTATTGAGTGAAAGTGAATCTTATTGCAGGATGCACATATAAATTAATCCACTAACCAAGAGCACGCAAAAGTAGAAAGAAATGCAGAAAATTTCCCCGTGAATGTCATTGTGAAAAAGCGACAAGAGACACAGGCGGATTCTTGCAAAATTTCCAGTATCAACAGACACTTTGATGGCCATGGCACGAGTATTGTGTTGAATCGAGGATGAGAGTTGCTAGAACAACTACCAGAGAGGGATGAGCTTCACTCAACTTGGACAAACTACTGCCACAACTACCAGATCCTGACAGGTCCTTGGTGAAGGGTGGATATATTTCTCTATTTGGTACCAGTTTCTATCAACCAGTATCAGAGTAGTTATAATCCAGGGCAACAAATTCACAGTAGGGGAAAATGGAATTGTCGCAATTTGACAGCAGTAGTGATGCCTATTGGTGGCTGATTGGTACTTTGATATTGTGAGAACACCGGAGAGTGAGAAGTTGCTGGAGGCGGCGAAATCCTTGAGAAACCATGCTCTCATAGTAGAAGATGCTGAAAATTCTCAGGTGAATTATGAAGCAGTTACTTTATGGTGTGTTAATTATGTAATTATTGTTGTCTATTTAGTTCTAGGTAGTGTATAATAAACATTTAGCTAATGGAAGTATCAAATACTTTCACAAGCTATGAAGCACCGACATCTCTGAAAAAGCGTGTCCGTGTCAGTGTCGGATACTTGCAAAAACACTTATAATTACAAGCAAATACTCTCCCTAGCATCTATTCATTCACATGACTTGAATTCAAGAGGGAAAATAGCAGATAAGCGAATACAAAAGTAATTGATTGTAGCACCAACCTAGTTAGAATAGCAGATTACAGTAACAGATCGATGAATGAAAGCGAACAATTGAAGTACCTCTCGAATAGCTTGTACCTTCCATCAACAATAAAATCAAATCAATTGAACAGTTTCCAATTGAAAAATGAACAAGATATTGAAAATGCTTAGTTTGATATGAATTTGGTTACCTTGAAATTCGGGAGATAGATGCTGAAGTTTGGAAAGTTCGATAGATATGGATCTTCTGAAATACTATTCCATTGACTCTATCGATTTCAAGTTTTTCAGTATCAAATTCAATTATAGAATAGGTAGAACAAATTGATTGAGATTAGGAAAAGAGAAGGAAAGTGAAAATACTTGCAAAACATGAGAATCGCGCGGGATGGCTGTGACATGCGGTCCGCATCCACTTTCTGCTTCATTTTTGTTTCTTCGCTACACACTTCACAGCTATACTCGTCTATTATGTTGCTTTATTCTCATTATTAGAAGAGGAAAAATAGAGGAGAATTTATTAACGTATGCTTTATGTTATTTAAAACATTACACAATATTCTTAGATTTTGAAATTTTATTTATCAACACATCAAAATCTCAAACGTTAAAATATTTTTAAAATATAAACATATATCGTGTATTACACTCAGAAGTCAATTTACAAGTTTATTGTACTAAAGATTCATTTATGTTTATTTTACGTAAATGTATCTTTATAACTTATCAGAACACCATAATACATGTTACATTTTGTTTACGTGTATTCAGATGAAGATTTATAAGCGTTATGTATCATGGATGTGGATAGATTTAAATCATACAATTCATATGTAAAAAATGCCGTATATAAATCGTGATGGTTCAAATGTCATATATAAATAAAGTCGAAATACACGATAAAGTAGCATGAACTGAAAATAAAATACAATCCATAATGAATCCAAAGTACAACTACTATATACTACTGCACTACAGTATATGTAGGACTACATCTCCACTGCCTCCTCGGACTTCTCAGCCTCCACTACCCCCGTCCTCCAGTGATGTCTCTGGTACATCAATGCCCCCACGTACCTCCGTTATGACGACATCTAGGACCTGTCTCACATCAGACCCATCAGGGAAGATACCTTTGTCAATGTCTGTCTGCACAATCTCTACTATGCGATGACGTCTAGATAAGACATCTTTAGCATGATCTAATTATGTCTGCTACTCCTCTAGTATCTCCTAATGAGCTGACATCGGTGGATCTCCTAGAGCAACATCCACCATGTACGGATATGACACTCAGAAGAATCACATGAGATACTCGTCGACATAGCTCCAATCACTCTCAGTTATGGTACTATGTGCCTCCTCCGGTATTAGATGACTCTCATAATCATTAAACATGACATCCATGTGTCTACGTGTCAAAGCAGGAGGAGTATCGACAATAGAGTGTCTGGGAATGGTATGACTGTAGCCGAATTACCGCATGACGCACTCGGGCAAATGAGGAACAGTGAGACATGATCTGCAAGCCAACAATCCAGAGCATAACACTATCTTGTTAAGTGGTCGTGTCTCACAGTGATCGACATAGTTAGTGAAGAGCGTGTCCTCATCAATCAAGTGGTCAATATACACTTTGAATGGCTCTATCACCCGGTTCCCTTTGAGCGGGGCAAATTCAATAACACATGTCATATCCTTAGTGTAAGTCGGTACACTCGCCTAGCTGGAGATGCGCAGGAAGTGCTAGAGGATCCAAGTCTGAAAAGTTTGGAACACACGAATCATAAGTAATGGCGTTGTAAATATGAAAGGAAAATGACATAGAAAGATTGAAAAACCAATAAATATTATCGTCAGTAGTGTGATGATGCATGTGACCCGCTTCGTCTTCCACCTACAACACTCTAATAACTTCGAGTATAAGTAAATCAAACAAGAGGCCTCTCAGTTGTATGAAGATGAGATAAATACACAAGAATGAGGGTTGGATTGTGTTATTCGTTTTCTTTAGTTTGCTTCTGAACAGAGATCAGATTCTAAACCACTGTTCAGATTCTGATAATTAATTGCAGCGGAATAATGACAAAATCAAATAAATAACAACAAAACACACGGAGATTTATACTGGTTCCTCCCAAACTGAGAGTAGTCCAGTCCGCTTGCAACACAAAAGATTTTTCACTATAATCAAATAATGATTAAAATTGCTTATGCCATAAGCACAAGACTTTACTACTCAGACCCTCAGCTCGAGACTTCTTGCTTAAACCCCTCAGATTCAAGACTTCCTTACTCAAGCCCCTCAACCTCAAGACTTTTGCTCAGACCCTCAGTCTAAGACTTCTGCTCACATCCCACAGATTCAAGACTTCTGCTCATACCCTTCTGGTACAAAACTTCCTTGCTTAGATTCCACAAATCCAAGACTTCTGTTCAATAAACAATTGATTAAGACTCCAATGCTTTAGCACATAGCAAGAGACTTACATGACTCGAGCTTCATAACAAGAGACTTAGATGTTCAAGCACATAACAAGAGACTTTATCTAAACAACTAAATAACTTGTTTAGCATAATAGAGAACAATGTGTACTTGATACATAATCACAGGTATAAGGCAATAACCATAACAAAGATCATAACACTTAAGATTTCTAAGATATTCAATGTTTAAGAAATCTTAAGGCTTTGTACAATTTATAACATATAACAAAAATTATGCATACTCTATTGTGTTGCTATTATTGATCTTGTTATTCTTCCATTCTAGTATAAGCAGAGAACACTTATATCCTTCTTGGCTCTTCTACTTTTTCTCCTTGTTCCCTGTTGAAAGTACATGTTGAATCTTCAGCTACTTATAACAGTTTCAGAGGAATAGCCATTGGAAGAGATAACTTGTACAAGTGTCTTTGTTACTCCATAGTACAAGAGACGTTGAAGATAGATACACCAAAAGATCTTGATCCATCATGTAACTCGTTTAACCATTGTGTCTTACTTGTAATCTTGTGCTATAGATCCGTTGAGAGTAGATATCCGTAAAGCATGTCAACTCTTTTTGAGCCATGCGAACACAAACTCTAGCTGACAACATACTTGATAATGTATCTTGTTTTCTGTAGTACGGATAACTTTAGCTTTATCGTTGGTTCTGAATGATCACCAGAAGCTGATACATTCAATAAGCTTATAGACAATATATTATTCTTATAATGCTATGGCCTTCAACTTCAAAGTCTATGCAAACCCATATTATCAGTCTTTACTTAAAGAACGTTCTTCAGATTCTGATCCACCAGAAGCCAATAACGTAGCTTCTCTCAAGTGCATCCTTCTATCAGATTCTAATCCACCTGAAGCCAATAACGTAGCTTCTCTCAAGTGCATCCTTCTATCAGATTCTGACTTTATTCTTTTTTAAGCTTTAGAACCTACACACTTAGAACACACATTAGATAACACTTATTTTCTTTCAATACTTTGTTATCATCAAAAACCAAACGATATGTGTCATGAACAAATCTTGTTCAAATAATCTCCCCCTTTTTGATGATGACAAACGTAAGCATTTAAAAAACAATGTTGGCCTATTTTAATTTCCTTAGAAACGTCAGAATCTAAGGTTTCTAAGCTCCCTCTAAGTCTAATAGTCAAAGGTTGAGTTTTGTAAGCTCCTCCTAAGTTCTATATTCAAGATAACTAAAATATGTCAAATTTGGGCTATTTTTATTTTCTTAGCAACATTAGAGTCTGGGGTTTATAAGCTCTCTCATAGTCTAATAGTCCAAATTTGAGGTTTGTAAGCTCTCCCTTTGTTCTATACATAAGAAAACTATAATATATTTTAATTTACTTGGCAACATCAGGGTACGAGGTTTGTGAGCTCTCCATGAGTCTAATAGTCCAAAGGTTGAGGTTTGTAAGCTCCACCTAAGTTCTACTATCAAGAAACTAAAATATTTTTCCCGAGTAATAACCACAAAAACTCAGACATAACAGAAATTTAAATAATTAAAATAAACAACATTAAAATAGAATGTGTTCAGATTCTCTATTAAATACTTCTATATCTTTCTCCCCCTTTTGTCACATCAAAAAGAAAAAAAATAAACAAAGAAAATACATACATAAATGCAAAGCAGATTATGATTACATGATCGATTCCCGCGAAAGAGAAAATGATTCAAGTAGTAGAGAGCATTAAAAACTTGTACAATGCATCTTTAATAGTTATTGGTCGTAACAGTTCCAAGAATCAATAAAAAGGATTTTATTCCATCGTTTGAGTTACCTAGACTCCACTATAAAAAACAACTGAAGCATAGGTCATTTTCATCAACATCCTTTAACACAACACGGAGTCCTTAGCTGAAAGTACCAACCTCTCAACCATAACAGAGATATCATAAGGTGCTAAGAGTCTGGAGGTACAAGGTCCTCAGAAGCCCGCAAGTTCTAAAACATCTGATGTTGGTTCTTCGTCTTCTGTACTGAAATGTTTTGAAGAAAGTTCATCCTCAGCTGCAATGAGACCTTTAGAAGTAGGTCCATCGACTTATGATTTGAAACTCAGGAAGAAATCAATGAATAATAATAGTAAGATCAGAGACGAGATATTTTATCATCTGATTATCACAGATGCATAAGATAAGGATGTGGATGAGGATGAACATGACATCGATTGAGGAAACTGGATGAGTAATAAGGCATTAGAGGAGTTAGATTGATTGTAATATTTAATACTCTCCAGTCCTTTTTATTATGTAATCTTTTTTTATGATTAATGAAAAAATTTGTTTCGGCCATATTTATTTGCATAATTACAAAGCTTTATTAATCCCTTTGATTTTTTTGACAAGTACATAAACAAAGTAAAACGATGGACATAAGACATAATAAAACAAACAGATAGCTGTTAAGATGACATTTACAGTTGTCTTAAGAGAATTGTTATTAGGATTATATTCTAGACGCCATTTTCCAAGAGTCAGACATTAAAATATTGATTTGAATAATTAATATTAAAATTCTAAACGCTTAAGATAACTGATGAATAGTTACTATAAAACATTCAGCAAACCATAATTCTGAATCACTTAATCTTTAGAACACCAAAAATGTATAAGTAGAAGCAAATTTGGGTTCCAAAGAGAGATCTTAAAAAATAGCAATATTAAATGAAGTAACTCAAGCAAATGAGAAGAATGTAGCAACTGTAGCATCTTCAAGCAAGAGGATTCCTTCAGAGGCACATACATCTCCAGCAAGCTTTGTTGAGACACAGAGAAGAAAGATAACTTTTTGGTCAAAACACATAAATCTTCTAAGGAAGGAAGTTGTTGAATTAGTAAGGGAAGATTGAGAAGATTATTTAAACAACCTAGATATGTCATGTGAGCCTAGGAAATTCCTTAGAACAGAT